GTGCCTTTGGGTTGACATAACCGTTCAATACTGAAGACGTGGACTCAAGTAAGCATTAAGTGTGAATGTATAATTTATCATTAAAAACAGATGAGGCAAATCAATTTGTGTAATTTTCATTTTATCTTCAAAATAAGCTTGTCCTGTATTTTTGGCTGCATTTGGCTTATCTTGAACTACAACTACGCAGAGCTAGTCTTCTGATGCTTGAAGTAGCAGTTTTTTCCCCAAAAATAACATTTTAAAAACTCAGTAGCAATGTCTCTCTGCAGAAATCATGACTCAGTTACTCAATAAAATATCCATAAACCTTTTTGTGAGCTCAAACTACTCACAACAACTTAAAGAAGCGAACTAGCACCGTAGTGATAAAACTGTGACTCTCACAGCAAAACAATGTAGACAGGACATCAAAGGTCAGAGGAAAAGCGTGTACATTTGACTCTGAGATAAAATGTCCCTCAAGCATTATTGGCCATGTTTAGGGTTAAACACAATGGATAATTTGCGTTGCAGAATTTTAAAAGTGGCAGTCAGTGCCGCCTCATAGCAAGGAGGTTTTGAGTCATCTATGCCTGGCTAGCTAGCACGCCAGAGTCCAAAGACATGCACATCAGATAGCATGTTTATGAGGATTAAAAATTGGCAGTTTGTATGGATATGAATTAAAATGGTATGGTATTCTACTTCTCTGTATTCTATCATCTAGTGTCTGCTGGGACAGAGTCTGCCTCTCGTGACTCTTTGATAATTTGAGAAACCCTTATGAAAAAGGATGAAAAAGGATAGATTATTTCTCACCCATTCTGAGGGCAGAAAAGAAGTAAAGCCATATTAGGCAGATGATGGGTGCGCCCAGAGCTTGATTCACAGCCTCCAGGTGAACTTGGCGGTCTAGGCGAGCAGACAGGTAAACAAAGCACAGGTTGTATCTGTCCACCAGGTACTTCAGGACCATGTAGATGAGACCTGATACAGTCAGAAAGGAGGCGATTAAAAACTGAAAAGTCAACAGACTATTAGATAATAAAGAAAAAAACAACAACAACAAACATCTAGCGGAGCAACACTTGTGTAGTTACTCACCAAAAGGCACTATTACAGGACAAATGATGCTGTAAGCCAGGATAACCGTAAATAAACAAAGAATCCAGCCGTACATGGCTCCGTATTCAAACTCATATGCCTGATTCTGTAACACGATGTTGACAAGTTATTCACCTTCTAAATACGAAGGGGAGAATCAGAAAGATATTCACAAACAATATATTCTCTAACAGTTGTAGATTTATGACAGAATGAAATTAGAGCAAAGTATAGCAGTTAAAGCCACTACAAACCTCTTTGACATATTTCCTTTCAGCAGCAGAGCGAGCAATCATCAAACGAATGACGTAAAGCAGTAACCCTGGCAACCGCAACAACTCCATCGCAGAGCCCACGAGGGCTGCTGCAATTACGTAGTTGACAAAAAATGCCCCTTGGTCAGGTAAAAACACACACCTGGTGTAATCAAACCAGAGACCACCAAAAGAGAAGAACAGGGCAAAACGTTAATTTCGGTAAATAAATAGTTTGTCCAGGATCATAAGAAGCTATATTTAAAAACATTTACCCATTTTGTATGATATTACACTATTACACTGTCTAAGCATGTCAGCTTCAACCAAACCATTATAATCTCAGAAAAGCATCTAGCTGTAAATAAAACAACCAACAATCATACTTTAAATGTAAAATTTATATTCTAAATCAATGTAAAGAACACAGTACAAAATAATCTTAAAAACAGGCAGGTTATTAATATGTTAGTAAAGCTTGTATTGTATAATATCAAAGAAATGATGACTTAATCTCAACTCTATTAACTTTCAAGATAGCTCACTTACTCAAATCTCACTGTCCCATTGGAGAGAAATTCTTTCTCAAATAGCCATTGGAAGAACACAGCAAGACTAAACAAAAACACAGAAAGTTAGCCAAGCTTTCTTGGCTACATGTACCGACACCATTAAACATCTCTTCACTTGGGGGGATTTTTATTTTACTGAGCAAACTACATATGAACATAAAAAGGATTTATTTCATGCAAAGCATTTACACTTGGCTGTGGCGACTGAGCTTGGATAGTTTTTGTCAGCGAGTCTTATGAAATGTAGGCCAACAGTGAGTTATGGCTTCTGATACATGGAAGTGTTTGAGTTCCTCCATTTCTTGCTGTATGCGACATACTGAGAAGTAGTTTCAGTGAATAGACAATAAACCTAGTTTTTTTGTAAACTGGTGCTTATTCAAACTGGCAGTAATAAAAATTACCTGGTGAGTCCTAGCGAGGGGAGGAGGAGTACCATGAAGAGCAGAAAAAAGTACAGCTTGCGCATCATGCTCAGCTGCTCGCTGGACCTGAGACACAGATGGCAGCGGAATAAAACAAATTACCTCTGAAACCAATCAGTACACTACTGCTCTCTCTGTGTGTGTGTGTGTGTGTGTGTGTGTGTGTGTGTGTGTGTGTGTGTGTGTGTGTGTGTGTGTGTGTGTGTGTGTGTGTCCTTTCTACCTGCTCCAGTGTGCCTCTCCTAGTGTAGAATAGTACACTATTGTAGGAAGCAGGGCAGAGAAGGCCCACAGCAGGAACGTGGGGAAGAACTGACTGATGATGGGGCTCTAGGGCAAAAAACAAACAAAACAACCTTTAGACTTGCTGCAAACCTGTGATGGTTAACTGTGTTTGCATGTGCAAGTCTCACATTAAGAGCGTTGATGGGCTTGGTCACGTTGAACTTATCCATGGTGTTGATAATGATAGTGGGGGTCGTGAATAAGGTCAGCAGGATGAAAAGGAATAAATTTAGCGCTACATAGCGTGCGTACCAATGAAAACCCTGCACTGAGAGATTTTCCCTATGGGTTAGGAAAAACGTGAAAAACAGAAATAACAGGAGAGTTACATACAAAGAGACACTGCAAAGAAAAGGCTGGTGTGCACCCTGAATACTTCCTCATAAATGTCTCCTGTTTCTGATGTGAACAGTATACATTAAGAATACAAATGTTGTGTGCTTGCTTTCTCAAAAAAGGTTAAATTACTACGCCGATAAAATGTGACAGCAAACGCGCTCTAGTGTGAACCCTCAAAGTGGCCCACATCCGCAAAAGAAGACCATTCAAACAGCAGTCGCTTTCTAAAACATCAGATCTGTATCGGATTCAGTACCACATACGAAAGTGACCCAGATCAGATTTGAAAATATCGCATTTGTGCTGTTCACACGGTCATACCATGATTGGATATGGGTCGCAAAGGGTCAAAAAAGTCAGATTTGATGCGCTTTCGCCTGCAGTGTGAACGTAGCCTATGTGCAGAGTATAGGTTTTGATGTTAGTACAGGCAGAACTTAGATGCTCAAATTGTAAAATTCTGGGCTGACACAAATAAAGGTACTTTTGACTGCTCCCTTTTTTCTAAATGTTGCCACAGTTTGGAGTGAAAGATAATAAACCAGATAACTTTGCTACATTCCACAAATACTAATGCTTACTAACAATTTTGCCAGAGTCAATGTATTTTTTTGTATTATTATTGCCACTTAGTCCATCTACATAGATAGATTAGTTTATGAGTAAAATTCTATGGAGTGCATGGGGAGCATACAGTGTGAAAGGTTAGTGTTTCAGATCTTACCAGTAAACATTCCTTGTATATGGTGCAAACCCGACGCGCCACTTGTTCACTTTCAGACTTTGGCTTTTGGATGACGGCTGGCGCTGCGCTCCACAACAGCTGCTCATGGTACCACACTTGACTGCATTGAAGTCTTTCAGAATTCTGCAGCAGGTAAATGATAACTTTTAGCGATTAACGTTTGCATTAGCTTTCAGAAATATTGCCACGAGGCATTTTCCCATTAAACGTCAACAGAATAAGAAATCTGATGACAACGCAATTAAGAGATCATGGTCATCATCAGGGAAGAGGATAAACCACACAGAATATTGCTGCTTACAGAAAAACACTGACACACTTGGCATGCCAATGTTGGTTACACTGTCAAAGCATGTTGCTCTTACAAAAATAAAAATAATGGAAACAGCAGTCAGTCACCAAATGAGTTACAATGCAGTTGGACCCATTACATACAAAAGTAGTACATACTGTACAGCAAGTAATGATAGTACAGATAGTAAGAACACTTAAGTCACCGTCAGTGACAACCCCAACTGTAACACTAACCCTAGGCTATTAAAATATGTATGTAATTATGCATTTTTTGCAAATTTGTTAATTTGGAAATAATCTGACACAGGGCAGAGTTAAGGTTAGGGTTACCACTTATGACTATTTGGACCTCAAAAGGTTACACTAATACTCACAATTTGGCCATGGCCTCAGTCTGTAAGGTGACAAAAGCAATCCCTAGGGGGTAGTGTGGTGTTATTTCTGCCTCTTGTCTCACCTCTTCCAGCAGTAACCTTTCTTTAGCATGGTAATGCTCTATGGCGTCAACCTGAGAAGACACAAACACAGAAAATATTGTTTTTAATAGACGGTACACGTTTTCTGAATCAGTTTCATTTACAGATTTAGCACTCTGTAGTGTAGATCTTTAATTATATTTCAAAGATTAAGCTAAAAGCTCACCAACTACTTTAAATGCTTTATGGATCTTGTTCTGCATAGCATTGAAACTGAGCAGTTAAACATATTCCCTTAAAAAAAAAAATCCTCTTTTGTCTTATCATTTTCTAATAACATTTAATTTTACGATACTGGAATACAAAGCAGCAGATAATACATTTCTGAAAGTGCTGTAACTAGATTTAAGCAAGTGTTTCCTCCATTATTTCTTCAATATTATGTGCAAACACAATGCAAACCATCTAAACTCTACTCCTACAAAGGTTGATTGTCTTGTTAATAGTGTTAAAGCCTCACTGCAAACGACCCTGGAAACTGTGGCTTAAAAAGGAAGGCAACAAATCAAGGATATTTAACTCCCTGGTATAACTCACAAACAAGCACCATGAAGCAAATAACTCAAAAATTAGAGAGAATATTGAGTTGTACACACTTAAAACACAACAAAACAAACAAACAAACACACACACAAAACCCCAACAACATTCTATGAACAAGCACTTGATGACAGTGGGTCATCAAGTGCTCTGTTGCAACCAGACAGATGGCCAATGAGTGGTTAGAGCTCTGTTGAGCCAAACATGCCTTTAACCATTAGAACTTTAAAAAAAATTAATCATTAAGGATAGCAACTCGAATAACTGCTGATATTTACTGTGACTTTCTCTCTCACTGATCTGAGTTAACTTGAATAAATGCTTCCTCTAAACCATTAAGGTCCCTTTTAGCCCACATTCTTACAAGACTGCTCAAAGTAGTTTCACCATTAATTAATGATTCATTTTTAAATATGATTCATCTATCTTTATTAAGAGATTACATACCACAGGCTTTTAGGGTGGCAGTAATTAAATCTTTACTTAAAAAGTAGTCACTTGATCCAACTGTCCTAGCTGATTATAGATTTCTAATCTTCCTTTTATCTCAGGAATTCTTAAAAGAGCAGCTGTAAAACAGATAACCGATCACTTACAAACAAATGTTTATTTGAACAGTTTCAGTCAGGACTGAGAACTCATAACAGTACAGAAAGTCTTAGTGAAGGTCTCACATGGTCTTCTTGCATCCACTGACTGTGTATTAATTTCTGTACAGTTCCAGCGAGACTTCAGTGAAGAGTTAAACACCGTTAACTATAATATTTTACTATAGAGATTGGAACCTGCCGGAGGTATTTAAGATACTATGCTGCAGTGATTTGAATCATATCTATGTGATAGCTAGTTAATCCAAGTTGTGCAGCTGTTTACATTATATGTTTCCCTTGGGTAAATGATTAAAATATTATTTAAAAAATACTGCATACATTTTCATTGCAATGCAGATGATACCCAGCTTTATTTCTTCATGATATAAATTAACTAGTTAAACTACTATGTCTTAAAGATATAAAGACCCAAATGTCCTCTAATTTCCTACTTTCGTACACAACTGTAATTGTGAGCTGGCGCTATATACATAATACTGAACTTAAAATGGTGCAGAACTCTGATCATCTGGCCTGGCTCACCTTCACACAGCTGACGCAGCAACATAAGTAGCCACACATACGGGGGTTGATGAACACACGTTGTCCTTTTTTCCGTAGGACATGCTCATAGTAGCACAGGTTTTTCCCAGCACGTATCCTGAGATGAAAAAACCCCCACAACAATAAGAACAACAAAAAGACAAACTCAAAAACCAATAAAAAAAAACAAAACAAAAAAAACAACAACACAGAAGTGATTGACACAGATTGACACTACTTGACAACTATGTGTACATAAAAAAAAACCCGGTCACACTTCCTAATGCTTGAATTTGCATAAAAGTCGCCAATGCTCTGCTGACTGACTGCTGCTCTGCCTACTTTCTGTGAAATTAACATCAGCACAAAATCTGTGCACCATGAGCTTCATGACCTGGGTTGCTATGGCTGAGCAGCTCTTGTAGCTGTAATGTGTAAGTTGTAAAAAGTTGAATATGCTCTACAAGATAGTGTTTGAAAACATTGAGGTTAGAAAAACAAATGTGAAACTGTCACACATTTGAACTTACTGATAAAGTATAAAATACACACATGATTTTCTTACCTTTCCTTATCAAGGTACATGAGCTTGGTCACATTATACGCCAAGGTGACAGCACACACTTGACACGAAGGGTATGCCTCTCTTTAAACAAACACAGTTGGTTACAATTACTTGTCTCCATGCTCAAGACAAAATGTGAACAAAACCAGAATTTCATTATAATCTTTATTATACAATTCTGTTTACTCACACGAAATGGGTCTTTACATCTTCTGCTGTTACTTCTTTGGGGAGGGAACACACAAACAAGGTGTTTCTGGCCTAGGAAAAGAAAATCAGAAGGGGAACTTAACACTTCTCACAGAAAAATGCAATCAATGTAAAAGGATAGTGGGAAACTAACATCCCAGCCATGTATTATCATAAATTTACATCAAATAGCATCCAGTCTAGTCTGAGTACTCTAGTCTACTCCGGTGCTCTGACACTCACTATCTCTCTGCGCGTGCCCTTCATTTGTGACACGTGACGCTGCAGCAGCAGAGCCGTCAGGATCAGGTAGATAACTGCAAATACTGTGTGTAGCCATAACAGGTTGTTTCTACAAGAAAATACCAGAAGGACAGTTATTCAAAGTAGACAATAAAGACAAGAAAATACCATCCTACGGTATCAGGGTTTGTTCAAACGTCATAATTTATAAAGCAGTTACCCCTTTTTCAAATTTCCAATAGTTGTCTCTCCAAACTTCTGTTTGTCAATATCTGAAAGAAATAAAACCTTTTTTTTTAAATTAGCAAAAATATGAATAGACACATATCACAGAACAATGAATTTAACCTTTAAAAAAATGGCTTAAAAACATGCTTAATGGTCTGTGGGTACAAATCACTGATTATGAAGTGGACAGCTCAGCTCCTGAGTTCTTGTTGCTTGACTCACGCCTGACCTTTAATCAGTAAATTTTTTAACTTCAGCCATTAAGCTGATTTTTTTTCTTGAAACACAAGAGTGAAGGGTATACTTTGAAACTTACTCAGAAGGCCTCCAGTCATGTTGACAGGTAGTATGACACCGATGGACAAGACGGTGAGAATCACCAGCAGGTAAATCAAATGTCGCTCGAATGACAGGTAGTGAACAGCATCCATGCCACACTTGGCTTTTATCTTTTCATCACTGCGACATAAGCATACAAATACAGAATCACACCTCACATATTCTGCCTCATTGTTGAAAGGATGACAAAGTAGGTTTTTGGAGTGAAACAATGATTAAAACAGGGAAAAAAAATAAAAAAATAAAAACACTCACTCTATTGTGAATAAATACCACAGCCAAGAGCAGAATCCCTGAACAAAAAGAGAGATCTGTTATTGCTCTAAAATACCCAAAGAAGACCTGCGTAAAGCCCTTTGTCACCTTTCAAAAACACGCTGAGACTAAAACCAACTTCCTACAATTGCAAGTCATGGTCACGGAATCAAAAAGGGCATAAGTGTTAGCAAAGCACATTATATTGATATCTTTGAGCAACCAACATTCCAGTGGATTAAAACTGTCTGCCTGCAATGCTATTAGGTATATGCGGTCAAATGTATTAAGTGAAGCCTGTGAACCAGTTTAGGTGAGGAACTTGAGCTCACTTCATATCCCAAACACACATCCTAATTTGATGGCTTGTTTATGTTTTAGTGGTTTTCATGCATTTTCAAAAGAAGGTAGTGTTTAAAAAAACCAAACAAAAAAATCTGTTTTTTGATTATTACTACATCGAGTATTAACTGAAGTCAGTTTAACTTAACGATACCATTTATCTTTATCGGTACAACCACCGTTTTATGCTTTATTAATTCTCATTTTTAGTGGCATTCTTTTACATACCGTGTCATAATCTGGTTCCTCCATGTTGGACCCAGTGGATGACTTACGTCCATAGCGACGGTGTGATGAGCCAGTGAACCTGATATACAAAGTGGCTGTGTCAAAGACTAATGCAGATTCAGTTTACAATTTCAAAATCTAGATTCTGGGTAGTATGTGCACCACATGTCCTTCTGCTTAGATTATGCTCAAACTTAACTGACCCGTCATCGTCTGCGACCAAAGCTAAACGTCCGTAGTCCCAGAACTGTTTCCTGATAATCGTGAAGATGATCAGCAGAATCTGTGGATAGCAATACAACTGACCATTTATCACTATTATGTCTTAAATTGCTCTATTGGAAGAATTTACTTTTGCTTTTAAAACATTAAAAGGAAAGAATGTATTTACAAGACAAAGAACTGAGTTTTAAAGTATTTGTAATTATGTCTCCCTTTATCAGAAGCAGATCAGAAAGGGGCAGAAACAAACCACAAAGACAACGAAGTTGATTAGCAGGACAGCTGGCACTCCTCCAAATTCGAGTCCTTTTAGGACGGTGCTCTGTGTGGAGTTGAAGCAGACAGTGCCATCGCTACGGTTTGCAGGCAGGTGGGACTCTTGCTCCCACCACAGTGATTTCATTACTGGAGTGGACCAGCTGTCTCTCTGTAGAGAATAAAAGCACTGCACGATTAAAATGAGATCTCTCATAGTCACAGAAGTGGAAGACGTATTAACTCAACTACTGATGACTTGTGGGAGTACCACCATTAAGGCTTTAAACTATGTGATCACAAACAAATCTCAAACCAATGGTCCCTGAGTGCCGACTTTTGAACAATGATTTCCCCGATTAGCAAACCTTTGAATAAGGGATGCAACATTTTCTTTGAAATTGCAACAATCAACCACCAATTACTGCTATTATTGAGAAACATGTTACAATAAAATAAATAAATAGTCATAATGTAATTAATTATTTAATTAATTATTTAATTAAATTTTATTTTAACTTAATAATTAATTAAATTAATTATTTCATTATTTTTAATGACTGTATTTACTTTTTAGTAGTGGACATCAGGTCTTTTTAGATCACAAAAAAAAAAAAATGTAATTAATGTAATTCTACCGTTACCGTTTGTGTGGATTTCTGGCCAAACTTGAATGGTTAAATGAAGGGAACATATCTGAACACTGAAACACCAATAACTTCTCAGAGTCTAACTTTAAAAAAAACCCAATTAAAATCCATTCTACACACCTAATAGTCACACAAAGCTGGGTTGTTAAGTCTTGTCACTCATGGCACAAACAATGATCGTGGATGAAAGGACAGAGGGCTGAGTGAGGCAGACAGGATTTTACTCAGAACTGTCAAAGTGGAGTCATACTTAGTGCTGTCAGGAGAGGAGCTGGAGGAGGGCCAGACAGTACTGCTGTACATACCAGCTTTTGAGGAGCATTGGCAAACTGACAACACCTGAAGTCTATTATTGAGTAATGTGTAAGCAATGGCTCTGAGGCTGTAGGATTTGGTTTATGAACTGCCAAACAGGACACTAGGGGTGGGCGGTATATAGTAGAAACCATATGAACGGTACCGCGATAGCGCATGTTAATGGTGTCATCATGGTAAATGGTAAGTGGACAGATTCTTATATAGCGTTTTTCTACTCTCCCGGAGTGCTCAAAGCGACAACATGCCTCATTCACCCATTAGCCACCCACACAAGCACTTCTAAACACAAGTGCAAACTAAACTACATTCACACTCCAAAGAATGCATCAGTTAGTATCTTGCCCAAGGATACTTGGCATGCAGACTGGAGGAGCCAGGGATTGAACCACCAACCTTCCGATCAGTAGCTGATCTGCTCTACCACCTGAGCAACAGCCACCCACCATCAAGCCGGTCAAAAGGATTATGGTATGGTCAAAAGCATTGCAGCGGCTGCAAGCAATATCATCTGCAAATTATGCTGAGCGACAGTAGTAGGGAGAAGATGAAGCACGTTTTGGAATATTAGGAAAGCCTAAAACTGTGCTTCTTCCATTTCCCTACCATTTATTCATTAATATTTAATGATGATGCAGTATATTAATGACTAACCTCAGTATTGTGGATGGATTATCTCAGTTGTTCTCCTGACTGAAGTTTGGTCCATTTACAGCATCCTGCTATGTGATTGCATTTGTCCCTAAACATCAGGAACACTCTGGTTAACTTTTATCAAATGGAAAAAGGTTAGCGTTCATCATCCAGCTTCACTGTGTTTATGTTATGCTAACATAAATGTGTCGCTAGTGATAACGTAACACATCATTATATACCAGCTAGCCCAACTTAGTAACCCTAAAAAAGACACTGCTGTTTAGTTTTCTGTCTTCATTTACTTTGGAAGTGATAGCAGAGCTGTACGTTTGAATTCTTTCAGAAATATCTCAGTCAGAACATGCAATATCATGTTTAGGTGGAAACTAGTGAGCTAACTTCCTGCTAACTTCTAACTCCGTTAAATTTAATAAATTCTGTTTTCATGGATGCCTGGATGTTAAACTTAATTGTTACATTGAACATTTTATTATAGATGAAATAATTTAGACAGTTTTTAACTCTCAGTGATGCCGCAGTGTTCGTTTGACTTTGGAACCTGAAGCCAACAGAGTTTTAAACCCAGAATACTTCGCGAGCTCCTGAGTATGGTAACTGTAATGCTCCGACAATCCATCAAGCGGTGCAGCTTGTTAGCCTAACAAAGTCATTCTAAAACATTTTTTGACAGATTTTTGACACTCGATTTTTGAGAAAATTAAAGGATTTTACGTGCGCCTTATAGTGCGGGAAATACGGTATACAGAAGAAAAGAATATATCGCAACATATATTGTTACTGCACATGCTTCAAATTATACCATGGATTTCAGGCCATATCACCCAGCCCTACAGGACACGTATGGTTTCAGCTGATTGAGGAAGGCTTGTGGCATTCTGTTTAAGGAAGTATCCTCTTAAGAGGGACATCAAGATCATGGTTTATCCTGACGGACTTCCTAATTTTGAATCTGTCTCGACTTATTGAACTGGCTATAACTAGGACCCATTAAATTCAGATACTAGGTTGTCTAAGTCAAGCTGTGAACACAGATATGCTGAAGAATTTTTTCAATTTTAATTCTACCTTCAGAGATGACCCTTCCCCTCTCTGGTTTGCCTAGTTTCTGTTTGATTTAGATCAGAGGACTACCTGTCTTGTTGGTTGTGGGCAGAGTTGTCCTGTTTTCATGTTTCATGCTAAAAAACAATTTCAAATCAATTTCAGTACCATTTAAAATGAATTGATAAACACAGGAGATGTACAGTTTCATGCACTTTTAACACACACATATATATATAATTATTATAAAAATCAACAGGGTAAAAGAAGAAAATCTGTACCCTGCCTTCTGCTTCCTGAAGTATGGCCACAGGTTTAAGTCCTGCCGTCCACTTTTGTTTTGGAAGTGGTAAAATTACTGTACATTTCAGAAATCCTACTAAGTCAAAGATAAGACTCTAAAATTGAGGAAACTATTTAATAATTTTTAAGCAAAAGAGTCATAATATTAGCAAGAAAGGATCACTTAGCCTCCTTTGGGGCCATAAAATGTGGAAGCTGCAAATTCTCCGTCATTTTGAAATGAAAGTTAATGTTCTCTCTCAGCCCAACCCCCACAAAAGTGGCAGCACAATTAAAAACAATTTACAAGATGTCCTCTTGACAGTGCAGCAGGACTCAAACTGCATAAATGGTGTTTGATGTAAAAGTCTTAGAATTGTCCAGCCCGAGTAAAAGGAGGATATATGCTGGAAAAGCTGAAACCAGCAAATGTTTGCTAATAATCTAGCAATTTTCTTCTGCTCATCCAATTCAAGGTTTCAGTAGTATTTAAGCCTATGCCAGCTGTCACAGATATTGGTATGGGTCGGGTCTGTCACATGGGTGAGACAGACAGCGATTTATGATCACATTCATGCCAAGAGCCAGCTCAGAAGCACCAACCTAAGAGGCATGTGTTTGGACTGTGGGAGAAAGCTGTAGTACCCAGTAAGAACCTTGCTATGAAGCACTACATTAGTTGCTATTTGACTTAATGACCTAATTAGTTAATTGATTATCAGAGTTTTAAGTGAGCAATAGCAAACAAATAGGCCGTAGCGTTTCACAACTCTGCAACTTTCAGCATTTCAAAAGCAAGTTTCAAGTCTTGCGGCTCTAGATTAAATCAGAGGATATCCCAGATTAAGACACTTGAACCGTGTTGCGATAATCAGTTTTTGCTGTCTGTGCATGCAGTGGCAGCTGCTAACTCCGAGAAAAGCACTACAGAGATCTTATAACAGAAGTAAAAGTAGTAAGAGTGTAGTGTAGTAAATGCATAACTTTTAATTAGGTTTGTATATCCAGCACGGTCGTCTTTGTAGCTTGTTCATATTAGATACAGTTGAATCTATCAACTGTTGTTAGGTTGGTGGTATTTTATACAATTACTTGTTTGTACTATGTGACTTTTTAGACTGAGAAACTAAGTACATGTGCGTTCCCCTCTGCTTGATTAACACTTGACAGCTTCCTGTAGTGTACTGCAGTCTGCTTTCTGAAATGCATGCAGAAACCTGATAAGGTCTGTGGCTTTTTTTTTGTCGTGTGAAGTAATACTGGTGATGTGTCATTTAGCCACTTAGCTCTATGTTAACTAACATTCATCTCTAGTGATCCACCTTCACTGAAACAGATGCGCCACGCTGAGTCACGCGGATCAAAACTGCAATATAGGCCACGAGATAAGAACTTTACTCAACGCTAGCACAAATTTTTTTTTACGAGTAACAACATTCACAGTACAAAAGCGGGACAACGTTGTTTAGTCTTAATCTGACTGAGACATTTCTACAAGTAACTCAAGGTGAAACAAGTGTCTCTGAAACAGCTGTTGACAGTTTGACTGAACGCACACAAAGAGGCTGTTGTTAAAGTAAAATGCCCAAGCTCAAAATTAAACAAACGCGTAGTGTAAACTGGTTAACCGAAGCAATGGTTACACCGAAATGAAGCAATGGTTAAAATAGTTAAAGAACGAAAGAGTTAGCTAGTGCTAATAAGGTAAACAAAACTTTGCTTACCTACTCCAAGTCACGAAGCTACGTCAACATCCGCTAAACAACTTGATTAACTTGTTCAGACAGGGTGTAGGCGTGGTTTCCAGATTATCCGCAAAGATTTGTGCTGAGTAGCCTTACCGGTATGTCAATGGGTTTGTTTTGTTTTTTCGTTTTATTTTGTGTGGAACAAAACTTCGTTCTACTTTAAATAACTGAAGTCTGGTAAAACTTCGCCCCTCTCCCGTCTCTGCCCTCCTTTAATGAACTGAGTATGCGCAGACGCAGCAGAAGCTTTCTTGCGCTCGGGGTCCTGTCATTCCTTCAAACTGCAGGGAAGCAAGTAGTAGACAGGAAGATCCGCTTACTGCAGACTTTCAAACCACATGCGTAAATATCTGGAGGGACTACATTTTTGAAAATATCTGAACTGGTGAAACATGACAGTAATGTGAGAAAGCAATGTCACAGAGAAAGTGAAAACACCCCTAAAACTGGGAAGTATTTATACCACGTCTTTTAGTATTGACTAATGGTAACATTATTTTTTTTGAACCGTGATTCAGAAAACAGCATGCATAGGTAATGAGGTTTAAGTTGACAAAGTTTAAAGTTGTACAGAAGACACCTCTGCTGGGAGTACAAAAATGCTGTTTTTTGTTTCTTTTTCTTGATTATCTGTCACAAACTAACATGTCATTCCTATAAGGTTAATCTTTATTGTATTGTATTGTATCATTGGCATAACTAAAAATATCAATTTGTGAAAACATAATACACTCTAATCTAAAGCTGACAAAACGTGCATAAGTAAGGACTCTGCAACACTGGGTGTGTAGTGCGTTGTGCTTGAGAGTAGTGGCACTGTGTACACTGAGACTCCCTATCAATCAAAAGCTGGCAGTCTTGCCAATAAGTTTAAAAACTGGAATGAAGGAAACAACCTGCTGTAGTTATGTCTGTAAAAGCTGTACCTCCGTCTTACTGTTAAGTCTTATCTTTTTTTTCTTTTATGTGGAACAAACCTTCCTGCTATTTTTAATATCTGAAGAATGACAAAAGTCCTTTCACACCTTTAAAACCTGCAGAGAAGCAGGTAGGAGACTGGAAAATCCACCCTGTGCAGACTTTCAACTGACATGACTCTATTTAAGGCCTTACAGTTGTGTGAATGCTATTGTAAGCAAATGTGGGAAAGAAATGGCACAAAGAAAGTGATAAAAGTCTCAAAACCTGGGAAGTACATAGAGTGAGTTGGTTTGTATGAATGGTTATTAACATTAGTTTGTGAACAATATTGCTGATTGAAATACACAGCATGGCTACTTAGTTTGTGTAAAACGTAGCACAGCTCCAACATTACGACAAGTAAACAGATTTAAATTGGCGGCCTGTTATAATTCTGTTTCACTTTTAATTTAAGTATTTTCATTGTCATTGTTATGCAAACATGTGCTGCACCGTTTGAAATAACTAGTTTGCTTTGAACATGACGCCTCAGTGTGTTCGCGGGATATTGTACTGTAAGTCACTTTTGCAATTGTAATTATAATGTATCTAAAGCTCTACTTCAGGTTTTTCACACTAGAATTGAAACTGCTCTCAGGCCACAAACAACAAGCACTTCTTCAAACTCACATCATACACATCATATTTCTCTACAGACTGCATGCTTATCCTTTTATACAGTCTATGTTGCTAATACAAAGTTATTCACAAGAGAATAATGCTCAAGTTTGATATTCGACGAGTAACAAAAGCAGAGAACAACAGGACTGTGGCATCTTATAAAGAAGTAGATACTTTCCGCTCCTCATTTATTCACAAGCGGTCACCACAGCAAGTAGCTCCACGTGCGTGATTTGGCAGATTTTTTTTTTTTTTTTTACATCAGATGACTTTTGTGACACGACTTCTGTCAGATGCTCCATGTTCCAGTTTTCATATTGACATGGTGATTTAAATAAGTAAAGCAGTGCCTTTTAACAGTGAAATCATATGTAATAAAAATAATAAATCTGACTTTCCTTCTTCCATTTTGTACTTTGCACTTGGATTTAGTTATCAGAAAAAAACTTGTAATTGTTATATTGTCAGAATCAATCAAGAGACATGTAGTGAAACTGACATTCAGTGCACTGGATAGATGCAAGAATGTTACTGATAACCTGATACTTCTGTTTAACTTCCTCTTTCATATGTGTGACAGTAGCACAAGATTGCTCCTTAACCCATTAAAAAAATGAACTTTGATCTTCGAGAATTTTATCTCTTCTTCATTAGGACCACTTGTTCAACTGCTTGTTAAGAGAAATATCTAATCAGCCAATCACATTGCAGCATCTCAGAGCATTTAGGCAAGTAGGCATGGTTAAGATGGCCGAGCAACAAAATGGGAATGAAATGGCATAATTGTTGGTGCCAGATGGGATGGTTTGAGTATTTCGAAACTACTGATTTACTGGGAATTTACCACACAACTATCTCTAGTGTTTATAGAGTATGGTCTGAAACAGAGAAAATATCCAGTGAGCAACAGTTCTCTGGCTTTTTGATGTAAGAGGAGAATGACTCTCTCCACTCATAGGAAGGGAACACGAACTCAAATAGCCACTTGTTACAATTGAGGTATGCAGAAGAGCATCTCTAAATGTTCAACACATTGAACCACTGAACAAAGAAGCTATATGAGCAGAAAACCACACCATGGCTCAGTTTTCTCCTTTTCGCTGTCAGCTAGGAGGAGAAAACTGAGGTTTCAATTCACACAGGCTCACCAAAACTGATGAAGATTGGGAAAACGTTGCCTGGTCTGACGAGTCTCTATTTCTACTGTAACATGCAAGTGATAGGATCACAATTTGGTGCGAACAACATGAAAAAACAGCTCCATCGGGCCGCTGCTCCTGCTGGTATTATAATGTGTAGATGATATTTTCTCTTGCACATTTTGGGCCCTTTGGTGCCAATTGAGGATCATTAAAAACCACAGACTACTTGAGTATTATACCTGACCATGTCCATTAATTTATGATCATCTCTGACTACTTTCAGCAGGATAAAGCACCATATCAGAAACCTTAAACTTTGTCAGACTGGTTCACTGTACTTAACAAAGAGTGCTTTGTACTCAAATGGCATCCAAGGTCAAGAGATTTCAATCTAAAGTGGAACAGGAAATTCACATCATGATATTTTACAAACAAAGCTGCAGCAACTGTGTGATGATTACTCATTTTAATGGGGCGGCATGATGGTTAGCACCATTGGCTCACAGTAGAAAAGTCCAGTGTTAAAATCCAGGCCGGGGACTTTCTGTGTGGAATCTGTGCTTGAGTTGTCCCTCGGTACTCATGCTTCCTCTCACAATCCAAACATGCATAGGGTGGTTAGGTTGATTCTAAATTGTCCATAGGTGTGAATGTGAGCATGAACATTTGTCTGCCTTTCTTTGTTAGCTCTCCAACAGATCGGCAGCCTGTACAGGTTTCACCCAACCTCTTCCCCCGTGGCATCTGGGACTGGCTCTGGCTCAAGTGTCCCTGAATTGTGTACATGGAAGAAAATGGATGGACAGCACTTTTATGTGTAAATACACACTTTTAAATCCTCAAAGAGACTGCTAACAGCAGCATTGATGTGAATTTAGTTAAGTAAAAGTATTAGATGTAGTGGAGTATCAGAAAGCACATAAATCTATAAATTAAGCTTAAATGAACTTAGATACTTTCTATGCTTGGATATTCTGTAGCCTTATTTATTTTTAGTAGCACATTTTCACTTGTATTAATATGATGCTATTTTTTTTTTTTTTTACATATTCTTCTTGTGTTCTTTTGTAACAGAACAATTTGGGGGTTTGTTGAGGCAATAAAATCAGAAAAGCAGCCAAGAGAGACCAGGAAATGCATGCAGTGCAGAGGTGTGTGCAACAAATCTTGTTTAACCTGATTAAAGATCACAGTCAAAGTCACAAACAAGTGTTACAGATAAGACATAAGTTAAGAATTTGGCACCAGAGCCCTCTTACTTCTTTTTCTTACTTTAGCATCTATAGAATTATTTTTAAGCCTATTGGGGAAATACCTAGCATTGTCTTGCCAAGTATAGTAGGATAGTATGTCAGTATTATATAACAGCACTGCCAACAGATTGGTTTACTGAACTGTAAGCCAAATTATCTTTATACACAGTGGATATGAGTAATCTTTTTTTTTTAAACCACACT